AAAAAAAAAAAAAGGAAGAACAATAACAGAACCCAGATAAACCAAAAGCTTTTCCAAAAGTAGCTTTGAAAAGTTGCTATTCTAGCACACCCTAGGGAAAGGAGTTATTTATTTATTAAATTTATTTGCCGCCCATCTCATTTCGAAACGACTCTGGGCAGCTATATTTTATAAAAGTTATATGAATAGTCTTCGACTTAGAACAGTTTCTTTTAGTGACTGAAAATACTACAGCACTGAAAAAAAAGTGACTTATGACTGTTTTTCACACCTAAGACCACTATAGCATCTCCATGGTCATGTGATCAAAATTCAGATGCTTGGCAATTGACTCATATTTATGACCATTGCAGTGTCCCGGGGTCATGTGAGATCACTTTTTGCGACTTTCTGACAAGCAAAGTGAATGGAGAAACCAGATTCAATTAACAACCATGTGTCAGGGTAGTTACTCCCATTTAAATCATGAGCCTTGAGCAGCGCTTCCAAAGCTTAAAGAAGATTTATTAAGAGTAACCATGCCGGCACTGCCTGGGTGTAGCCGACTCTGAGACACATCATTCATTGTCACCCTTGACCCTGGTTTTCCCCCACCTCTTGAGTGTATCATAATTTTATGAGTTGACACCATGTTACTAACTTAACTGCAGTAATTCACTTAACAAGTGTTGCAAGGAAGGTCGTAAAACGGGGGAAATTTCGTTTAGCCAATGTCTCACTGAGCAACAGAAATTTTGGGCTCAATTAAGATCGTAAATCTTAAGGACTACCTGTGTTCTTTATTTATTTATTCAGCTTCTATAGCTACCTGTCTCAATCAATGATTCGGTGGCTTACGATTCGAATAGTATTATTACAATCAAAATACTAAACATTTTTTAAAACAATTAAAAACAATAGAAATGTCCAAAATAAATATACGTAGCAGCCGGGATACTTGGCCAGTTAGCAAAATAGCTAGGAAAGGGGCCCTTTGCATATTCAGTGTCCCGGGTATGGGAACGTAACCAGGTTTTTAGGGCCTCACAAAAGGCTGATAAGGTTTGGGGCCATTTTAATCTCCTTCTGCGCCTCAGCATCCGTTCCTCCATTTTTGAAGGGCAGGGCTCAGCTTTAACTTTCTGTTGTGCTCAGTCGTTCTCTGTTCCTTTCTATGGTTGAAACCTGAAGTTGCTTTTCTTAACCGAAGAGAAGACAATAAGGTGGAATGGTCTTCAATGCCTGAGGGAGCAAGGAAGGACTGCACAACTGAGTATATGATGGCAATACAGAAGTTGAGGACCTCGGCTCACAGCAACTCTCTTTCTTCTATAGGTTCAGATAAATGTATCCAATATGGACCATCCCTTGGACTGCCTTGGGCATCTCCTGTGGATGCTGATGTTGGTTCATTTGCCACTGCAAGAGGTCCATGGGTTTTTCCCCAACATCTGGTCTCGGGCCATGGGCTTCACATGGGGATCCATCACCCACCAGGATATGACTGAAGATGCAATTCTGAATGTCACTCTTCGCCTCTTTTCGGAGATACCGCACCCTACTAAAGGGAAGCATGTCCAAGAGGAGGACTTTAAGGTGAGAGAGAATGGATAGCTGCAGCAGAGTGGGACATGTTACAGCAGGGGTGGACAATTAATTTTCCCAAGGGACCACAAAACCTCCATTCCCTCCCCACTCCTGGGGGAAGGATACTGCAAAATACCCATTTCCTCCCCATCCCACTTACCTGCTTTCCAGTTCCATTCTCCCGTGCAGGGCAACAAAAGAAGACGCAGCCAATCAGCTGGGACTCAGGAGACAGAGAATAGATGGGGGCGGGGCCAGTCAGAGGTGGTATTTTCCGGTTCTCTGAACTACTCAAAATTTCCGCTGCCAGTTCTCCACAACCATTTCGATTTTACAACTTATTCTGCAACAGTCATTCAGTGAATGGGGCAGTCGTTAAGCAGACATGGCAGTCGTTAAGCAAAGCCATTGGTTGCAATGTGTATCTTTTGCCAGAAACTGAAAGTAGTTTTGCTTGGTTTCTAGCAATATCGTAAATCACTGTCCTATGACCGTAGAATGCCATGAATGGCCATAAATGTGAACTTGTTGCCAAGTGTCCAAAATGAGATCACATGACCCTGAGGGGGCCGTATCAGAGCTTTTGGATCTGGGTCATAAGGTTTTGGAGGGTTGTCAGAAGCTTGAGTAGTTGCTAATCAAAACAGTCTTTAAGCGAGGACTATCTGCCTCATAAAAAAAACTTTGAAGAATTGGAAAAGAAAGTGGCATTTACAGGAAGAAACAAGGCTGGGTGTGGAATTCTGGGAATTGAAGTCCACACCTCTTAAAGTTGCCAACGTTGAAAAAAACTGGCCTTCAAATTCAGTCCATTTATCCATAATATGTATTTCAGTTGAAACCTATCCTTTCATTTCCCCTCAACACACTCTTCCTTCTCTACTTTATAGGGGGCAAAAAAACATAAGGACTTATCTAACATGTAGTTTAGGGGACGCAATGGCTCAGTGGCTAAGACGCTGAGCTTGTTGATCAGAAAGGTCACCAGTTCAGCAGTTTGAATCCCTAGCACCGCATAATGGAGTGAGCTCCCATTCCTTGTCCCAGCTTCTGCCAACCTAGCAGTTCGAAAGCATGTAAAAATGCAAATAGAAAAATAGGGACCACTTTGGTGGGAAGGTAACAGTGTTCCGTGTGCCTTCAGTGTTTAGTCATGCCAGCCACATGACCATGGAGACGTTTCAGACAGTGCTGGCTCTTTGGCTTTGTAACGGAGATGAGCACTGTCCCCTAGAGCCGGAAACGACTAGCATGTACATGTGAGGGAAACCTTACCTTTAGCTAACATGTTGTTTAACTTTTGATTCCCCGTCAATAGGACAAGACCCTATTGGCTGATGACATCTTTGCCGCTTTCTATGGTCCTGAGGTGTCAGCCAAGCGTTTCCGTGGAGCCGTCGCAGAAGTGGCCAACGCCAATGCCGCCATGGACTTTGGGAATACGACCCGGGATGACCCCATTTTCCATTTCGATTCGGAGCTCATTCACCCCGCCAATAGCTGGCTGTTGCACGTTCGTGAAGAGATCCTTCAGGCTGTGCGTTCTGAGCAATATGGCCTTGCCCGAAAAAAGCTGGGACAGCTGCTCCATTCCTTGCAGGTATCCACCAAAATCCGCCCCGGGTGTATCATAAATCAGATTCTCCAATGAAGCACGTTCACGGGCTGGGTGTCATCAATCACATTCTCCAACGAAGGATCTTCGTGGGCAGAAGATCTGGCCGCCTCGCTACAATCTTTTTAAGATAAGGGTGGAATGTACTTCTGGTTTTAAACTGCCATACCACTTCTTCAGATTTCACACACACACACACACACACACACACCGTTTATGGCAACTTGAAAACAGGCATAGGGATGTTTTATGAGTTGACATTATTGGAGATATCATATTGGCACAAATCTTGTGAAAACCGACTGTGAAGGTTCCCGCGGTTTTCACCTAATTAAAAGGGAAAGTTTTCTCTCAACCCCAAACAGTCAATCATATGGTCCAATCAAGATGCTGTTTGGTTGCCTGGTGACCTCACTCCTCTTTCCATAGTCCAGGTGTGAGAATGTCCTTGGTTCCCAGGAGAAAGTATTTTGTTTTGACTAGAAAATCCCAGCTGTCTCTAATCCCCCCTCCTTATCCCTCAGCTCCAGTGTGGCAACCCTGAAACTCCAAGATGGCTCCGGTCAGGTCAGCTTCAGGGTTGACACTTGAGAGATGGGAGAAGCAAAAGGTGCAGGTCGGATAAGAAATATCTTGACCCACAGGAGGAAGTAGGATATGGAAAACATCTCAAAAGGGACCGTCCCTAGTTTCTTGGACTGTAAAGGTGAGGGGGTAAGAGATGTGCTTTCAGATTTGGGAAGATTCTTTTATAGGTGGTCCTTCAATTGCAACCGTAATGGAGCCTATTCATTATAGTCATAAGTCATAGCAGTTATAAAACCATATCTCAGCATGTGGTACTCAGATACAGTGCAACCTTAGGTCGCGAAGTCTCCTGTTCACGACTAAATCAGTTGGTGAACAAAAAATCCACCTGATTTTTGAATCAGGTCACGATTCAAAAATTGGGTGGCGAACAAAATCAGTGCGAAAAGATTCCCTTTCCATGGCGATTTCCCCTTTCCCACCATTTTTTTTACTACACAGATATGCACTCAGTCATGCTTCCGGATATGACCAAATTGTGACTAGAGTCCGGGAATGGATTATGGTTGCAACCCGGGCTCCACTGTGTACAGTTTGAATACATTTAGTCCTTGTTTAACAAACTGAGTTGGGACCAGCAATTCAGTAGTTAAGCAAAGTGGTCGCTAAGTGAAACAGCAACTGTGCTTGTGATCTTACTTCAGCTTTCTTATGTTTTACAGACCTACAAAGATCATAACGTATAAATGCCGGTTTCAGTCAAAAAACCAGCAATAAATATCCATTGGAGAACCGATTCACTTAACAATCATGTGATTTGCTTAAAGACTGTGGTAAAAAAAAGGTCACAAAATCGACTCTGGTGACCTATTGACTCTGCTTATGACCACACCGACTTATGACCGAAATTTCAGTCCCAACTGTGGCTGTAAATAGAGGACTACTTGTATGTGTTAAGAAATAAAGCTGGCGAGGTTAGATAGAACCGTCTCTGGCTTGAAAGAGAACCAGGGTCCATGCAGGGGTGGGGTTCAGCCAGTTTCGGGTGAACCGGATGTTAAATTCACATCTGGTTCCCTGAACCCGTACTTGAACCGACCGGCTGGCCCTGCTCCCCGCTCCCCTCCCAGGAGTCTCCACGTGACCCATTTTGGATGCAGGTAAGTGCAGGGCCCGCCCGGAGGCTCTGGGAGGGCGAAAAACAGCCTTCCTGGAAGTCCCAGAAGTCCGGAAATGGGCCTGTTTCCAGCTTCCAGAGGGCCTCTCGAGCCCGGAGTAGGCCGTTTTCACCCTACCAGAGACCCGAGGGAAGCCTCTGGACTCTGGGTAAGGCGAAAACGGCCCTCCCGGAAGTTCCGGTAGGCCACACCCACCCAGCAACCGGGCAGCGAACTGGTTGCTGGCATTTTTGAATCCCACCCCTGGGTCCATGTGATGGCCTTTTGGGGCCCTCAGGAAAATGACCAAGGATCAGAGGTGGTATTCAGCAGATTCTGACCAGTTCTGGAGAACCGGTAGCGGAAATTTTGAGTAGTTCGGAGAACCATCAAATCCCACCTCTGACTGGAGATTTTACAGTATCCTTCCGCTGCCCACCAAGTCACGCCCACAGAACCGCTAGCAAAAAAAATTTGAATCCTACCACTGCCTAGGATCTGTTGACTTGGAAAAGCAACAGGGAAAGAGCCTAGAATTTAAACCTGGATCTTTAGACCCATATAGGGAATTTGATTTCTACGCCCACCAGTGGATCAGCCTGTGTCTTTGTGGCTTCTTTCTTATCCAATGAATAGACTAAACTTGCTGAGGCATGTCTTGTAAACTTGATGCCAACTATCCCAGCCCTGAATAAGGGATTAAGTATCCAGAAGAGATGAGAATTAACAGTTGTGCCTGGGGGAAGCATAACCAATTATATCACTTATATTGTCTTATTATGAATCAGCACGCCCTCATCTTTCTGCCATTTCAAACAGTCTTTAATTCTGCTGTTCCTCAAAAACTACAGGTAGTCCTTGACTTGCAACCATTCATTTAGTGACTGTTCCAAGTTACAATGGCACTGGAAAAAAGTAACAGGACTGTTCCATACACAAGTGTTGCAGCATCCCCACAGTCATGGGTTCAAAATTTGAGCCCTTGGCAACTAACTGGGCTATATTTGTAATATTTGCAACGTCTTGAGATCCTGCGATCATCGTCTGTTACCTTCCCAGATGGCTTCCGACACATGAAGTCAGTGGGGGGGGGGAGGGAGGAATCAAATTTGCTTAATGACCACCTGATTCATTTAACAACAGCAGTGATTTGCTTATCAACCAAAGACTGTAAAACCCGGCCTGAGTCTCTTAATAACCGTCTAGTTTAGCAGACGGAAATTCTGGTCCCAATTGTAGTTGTAAGTTGAGGACTGCCTGTACTGAAATCATGCCAAAAAGAGCGAGAACCTCTACCTGAATTTTATTTATTTATTTTATTTTATTTATTTTGTCAAGTGATTATAAGATAACAGGTATAAGTTATGAATACATGAAATGGACACAAATAAAGAAGAACCAATAGGACAGGGATGGTAGGCACATTGGTGCGCTTATGCACGCCCCCCTACAGACCTCTTAGGAAAGGGGTGAGGTCAATAGTAGACAGTCTAAGGTTAAAGTTTCTGGGGTTTGGGGAAGAAACCACAGAGTCAAGTAGAGTATTCCAGACATTGACCACTCTGTTGCTAAAGTCGTATTTCCTGCAATTAAGTTTGGTGCGGTTTACCTTGAGTTTGTATCTATTGTTTGCTCTTGTTGTTGTTTTATTTAATAAAGTTTTATTTGGGTTTTCACACACAAAATACAAGTAAAACATCTTTTTTGAAAATAGCATGGTCCCGGGTTGAACTTCTTTATACAGACACAAAACTCAATTTCATGCTCCTTTTTGTATTCTATTCCATATCTTATACTATTTTACATTTTCTATATAGTTTTTCCCCTCTTTTAATTTTCTCAATTTTATTTTGATTATCTCATCTCAGTTCAAATCATTATATTTATACTTTTGTCTGTTCTGTTTCAATTTCATATTATCTTTTCTCATTAAACAAATTTTCTCCTGTAGTTACTAATTGGAGTATGACACCTTTATATCTTTTAATTACATCCATTCAACTCTTATTTAAACTTCAATATATACCTTAAGTTTATGACCAATGTTATACATAATACATAACTTCCAATCGAATTCTCCTTGGCACATTCTTATAATACACACTATATTCTTTTTTTAAAAAAGAAAGATTGTAAATATATGTAATTATAAACCCTCATTCCATTTCAGTTCAGTTCTATCATTAATAATCATTATAACCATAACATTTTTAACACTTCTTTTCAATTAAATATCATACTTCCTTAAAAACCACATATAATCTCCATAATTAATTTTCCCCTTATTTCTCTTCACATATGTTTTATAAATCATTAAATATACCTTTTGTTACATTTATTTATTGACAAGCATTCTACTGAATTACGATAGCTATTTTATCAGACATTTTAATCATACATTGTTTCATATTTTCTAAAATTATTTCTGCTTCTAATATGACCATACTATCCTATGTACCTTTGCAGAATCCCCTTTTCCATTAAGTTTTCACCCATTATCTGTAAATAGCCCTGTTTCTCTATATTTTGCTTCTGTCCTTTATAACTTATTTTCCTTTCTTTCTTCCCTCTCATCTTCTCCCTCCCCTTTTTACCCCCTTGTTTCTCTAGTTCTAATTCTCTCTTCTGCATTTCCCTCTTCTGTTGCTTTCTGATTTTGTATTTATTTTTCACTCTATTTTTTTGGAGTTGTTTTTCCCAATCTTAAACTTTCCATTCTCTTTCTCCCCTTTCCTTTCCACCCCCCATCTAAGATTACTTGTTCATTAAAGATGGCTTTTTCTTTGTCACAATCTTCTTGTTCTGCAGGCATTTCTTGTTGTTACTCATAATTCCAAATCTCCATTTCTAAAAACTGAAATACGAAGCCAAAAGAACCTCTCCCTTCTTGTGCATCTTCTTTGTACTTTTTAAGTTCCATTTTCAGTTCTTCTAAAAGTGGAGCCATTTTAAAAAGTTTTAAACAACCACACGATTGATTTTAGTCATTCACAACAATAACCAAGAATCCAGAAATCATCAAGTAATCCAGATAGTCCCGAGTTATATCTTCTTATTTCTTTTTCGTTTGCTCTTGTATTGTTATGGTTGAAGCTGAAGTATTCATTGACAGGTAGGACATTGCAATGTATGATTTTATATACTAAGATCGGACCGAAGGCGGCGTAGTTCTAGGTTTTCTAGGTCTAGAATTTCGAGTCTGGTGGCATAAAGTATTCTGCAATGAGTAGAGGAGTGGGGAACTCTTCTTGTGAAATATTTCTGGACTTTCTCAACTGTATTAATATCAGATACGTAATGCGGGTTCCAGACTGATGAACTGTATCTCTGAAATCAAAATGGAGGATTGCAATCCATAATTTAACAAAAATCATTAGTAGAGAAACTGCTCACCCTCTTTCTTTCCGGCCAGGATTTCTACAGCCACAGTAACTGGGTAGAACTGGGAAATGAAGGAATACTCCTTGACTTGGTTCAGCCAGGCCGAGAAATTCAGTCTGTCGCTGAAGGTATGGATCAGGTCCTATTTTTCTCTTTTACTTGAATTTGCCTTCACATGAGATATAGTATTATTAGTGGGTATCAGACCCTGATTCACTCTCAGAGGAGCCTGTTCTCAGCCTGCTGAAAATGTATTGATTTAGCCTGTTGGTTTATTTATTTAGTCTATTTATATCTAGGCACCCACCCACCCCAAAAAATGATTCAGGGTGGTGAACAATAATTGAAATACAAGTTAAAAGGATTAGAATCTCAGCTACAAAAATTGAAATGCAAAGCTGCCAAGAAAAATACAAATATTACAAGCATTCACTTAGAAACCCTTTGAAGTTAACAATGGCACAGAGAATTTATTGATTCAGACTGTTTATTTATTTGGTCAGTTTACATAGCTGCTCATATCAACGAACAATTTGGTGTGTTTGAACAATATTTAAAATAAAAGTTAAAACAGTCAGAATTTCAGCTACAAAAATTGAAATACATACAGTAGCAGCCGAGAGAAACACAGGTTATCTTAGACTTATAATCATTGATTTAGTCACCGAAGTTAACAGTGGCACTGAAAAAAATTGACTTACGAACAATCCTCACTCTTAAGACGGTTGCAGATTCCCCAAGGTCATGTGATCAAAACTGAAGGCAGGACAAGAAGCCATGGGTGGAAACTAATCAAGGAGAGAAGCAGCCTATAACTAAGGAGAAATTCCCTGATAGTTAGTGGAACAACTTGCCTCCAGAAGTTGTGAATGCTTCAACACTGGAAGTTTTTAAGAAGAGGTTGGACAACCATTTGTCTGAAATGGTGTAGGGTTTCCTGCCTGAGCTGGAGGTTGGATTAGAAGACCTCTTCCAACTATGTTATTCTATATTCTAAAATTCAAGCACTTGGCAACCGGCAAGAATAGAATGGAATAGAGTAGGAGTAGAATAGGAGTATAGAATTTAGAATAGGACAGGACAGGACCGAACAGGACAGAAGTAGAATATAGAATAGAATGGAATGGAATAGAGT